ACCGAGAGCCGTCAGTGGAGCATGGCCAGACTAAATAATACATTTATTTAGTCTGGCTTGCCAGGCTACAAGTAGCCTTCTAATCAGATACGTTTTTACCCTTACTTGAGTAATAAACCCTATATCAGGAAAGTATTGTCCTCGGTTTGTGTCCTTCCAGTGAGCTTTGCAGATGTGGGAAAATGTCATCAGGCAGTAATCATTGTTAAATTCATAATTATTCTCGGAGAGAGACCAACTCTTATCTGCCCCTGGGAGCCCCGTAATGCATAGCGTCATTTCAACATGGCGGTGTCCGCGACACGGTTTATATGCAGGTAGCGGCGCTGCGGCTGCTTTATATACAGGGTATCCGCGGGTCCTTAAAAAGTCTTAAGTCTTAAATTTGCTTTTCCAAATTTAAGGCCTTAAAAATCCTTAAAAATTATAAATAATCCTTAAATACAGTTTCCAAAGGTCTTAAATTACCAAAGACCCAATTAATAAGACTCTTTTATTTCAATTTTTTTTTTTTTTTTTGTGAATTTCTAGTTTGTGTTCAGCATTTTTTGTGTATGACATTTGCAAAAGTGGAACCAAACACATTCAGTTGGTTGTGAAAAGGGGCTATTTTTAGATGAGCACATTGGCTGGTTAAGCTAGTGGGAGCTTGCGCCATGGGGAAGTGCAAGTTTAATGGTATCTAGATGGCTAATCCCACGTTCGCAACGTGGTTAGCACCGGTTCCAGGCAATAGCTGGAAATTATAATTAAATTATTAAATTTAATTGAAAACAAAAGCTTAAATTTGGTCAAAGTGGCCTTAAAAAAGGTCTTAAAAAGTCTTAAATTTGGCTCCCTTAAGCCTGCAGATACCATATAGCGACTCGTTGCATTCTCCCTCAGCCCAAATCCTCGGATCACGTATTTTAGCTAAAACGCTAACGCTAGCTTGCCTTGCGTGTACTGTAGAGTTGTGGGTGATGGTCACGCAGATGTGTCATGAGATTTGAAGCGTTGCTGCCTTTCACAGACACTTTTTCTGCACGTGCTTCAAACAGGATAGCAGTCTTCTATAAACTGTCCTCCGGCATTCTTCAAATACCCAAAAAATGCCCATACTTCCCACTTTGTCTTCTTTGAGGGATAATAAATGTCCTGTGCGCTGCCGTCTCCTCCTTTGGCCATTATTTCAGCTTTAGCTTCAAGAAAGTTTTGGTTGTAAACAACAAAGTGCACATGTGCCGCCGGCAACTTCAGCAGATGATACGGTGGCTGGTAAGGGTCACCGCGCCTACACCGCAGCCACTGTAAACCCACTGAGATATTTTTTTTTTTAAAAACAAGACCGTTATTATTATTGTCAACTTTTTTACCGGGGTTTACCGCTACACCGGTTACCGTGACAACCCTACTCTCCGGTTGCAAATATGGTATTCTGGCTACTGGGGCTGAGAGACCCTTACATTAACCCTGTAAAGGGTGATTTTAGCACATGCTGGCTCAAGAAACTTATTTAAAAATGTTTAAAAAATTACATAGTTTCCCTTTAATCTGAGTTTAAGAGTCAAAGGAGAAAATCCATCTTTTAAAAAAGGTGATGGAGAATAACTGGAAATGGGTGACCAGCTGAGCCGTCTCAGCCATGACCTTGGCTGGTGGGAGGTTTTCTCTGAAAGAGCCTGTCTCACACACACACAGAGCACCACAAGAGAGCTGGTCAAGAGGCGGAAAGAAAACGATGAATAGATGCATTTAGAGGTGTCTGTCTCTGGGAGGAGTTTGGAAGATTAGAGGTTTGGATGGCTCAGCAGGACAGAGACGGGAGACAGGAGAGACTTCCTGTATGGATTCAGTGAAAGAAGAGTCAGAGTTCAGACACTCGACTCTTTTCCTCTCTGGGTATTTTATTGTGTCTGATAAAAAGATGAGGTCTGGGGGAGGAATGTGTGAGTCAGATGGAGGAGCAATGAAAGAGGTTGACGAGGAAAAGGGAAGGATATCCTGCAGCCATTCTCCGTTGGTTAATCACAGGAAATAGGCCCGGCTACGCCAGACACATGTACGCCACCTCCTTCATCACATCCCACAGCACAGACTTCTTAGGAAGTCTCAGATCCTGGGAGGAGAAAGGCAAACCGTGAAAACCATTAATATTATTATTCTAATGGTTTTCTAAACTGCTCAGCAAGAGTCTAAATTAGTAATATTTCAATCGCATTTTTTCGCTCCTGATCCGAGTCCAAGTCGCTTGTTTTTGTGCGTCTGCTGGATACAGAGTCCCAGTCCGAGACTTGAGCGAAGCGTTGAAACAAGAAGATAAAAGGAGAACACATCCAAGTTCTCCTTTTAAGTTTTCTTTATTTTATTTATGTATTTCTTTCTGTATTTGTCATTTCCTTAGTCTATCTGCAGAGGAAACATTCAGGAAGTACGTTAGTATGAAAAGTTAATATCACAAGTATATATAAAATGAGCCTTGTCGCTCATTTCAAATTGATTGCGTCCTCAATATGCATCTGTGTTGTATTGTTCCTGAGGCGGGGCGGCGGCATGGCTGGCGGCTCACTTTTCTTTGCACAACACCTACCTACCGCAGCTCAGCTGCTCCAGCAGGCTGAATCCCAACATTTTGCTGTTTGTCACCTATTTTTGATATACCCATATTGTCTTACTCTTACAGGACAGCAGTAGCCCAGTAGGTAGTGGGTTGTCCAGTAATCAGACGGTTGCAGGTTTGATCCCGGCTCTGACCAGAGAATGCTTCTGTTGTGTCTTTGGGCAAGACAGTTAACCCACGTTGCCTGCTGGTGGTGGTCGGAGGGACCTGTGGGGGCAGTGTTTGGCAGCCCCGCCTCTGTCAGTGCGCCCCAGCGCAGCTGAGGCTACATCACAGCTCATCCCCACTAGCGTGTGAATGGGTGAATGATTGATTGTGTTGCGAAGCGCCTTGGGGGGGTTATAGAACCCATTTAATTTCTGACACTGATATATGCAACTCATAAAAGAACAATAACTAAATAATTTTAGGATAATCACTTTTTTTTTTCATTTCAGGCACAACAAAATATATATATATAAAACATAAAGTGCACAAAAACAAGAAACAAAAATTACCTGAAAAGAAGTGGGATGAAGAAAACTTATTAAATCCCACCCCTGCTCTCACCTCAGACCTATAGTAGGGTTGTTACGGTGTGAAAATGTAACCTCGTGGTTATTCTGACCAAAATTATCACGGTTTTCGATATTATCGCGGTATTTTTTTAAACATGTTAAAATTTCAGGAAACTAAATAAACAACAAATATTGTCCTCAGTTTGTGTCTAAAATTTGCCTAAAATGTGTTATTTTGTAATTATGTTGTTTATTTGTTTACATTTTTCCCCTTTAGTCTTTAAAATACCAATATTTGCCCATAACTTCTTATTTGTTGTCTGTTTGATGTCATCATTTTAAAAATATTAGATCAGATGATATTCAGTACTCTATGGACAAAAGGAGGAGACGGCAGCGCTCAGGACATTTATTATCCCTCAAAGAAGACAAAGTGGGAAGTACGGGCATTTTTTGGATATTTGAAGAATGCCGAGGGACGGTTGATAGAAGACGGCTATCCTGTTTGCAGCACGTGCAGAAAAAGTGTCTGTGAAAGGTAGCAACACTTCAAATTTCATGACACATCTGCGTGACCATCACCCACAACTCTACAGTTAACGCAAGGCAAGCTAACGTTAGCGTTTTAGCTAAAATGCGTGATCCGAGGATTTGGGCTGAGGGAGAATGCAACGAGTCGCTATATAAAGCAGCCGCAGCGCCGCTACCTGCATATAAACCGTGTCGCGGACACCCCCATGTTGAAATGACGCTATGCATTACGGGGCTCCCAGGGGCAGATAAGAGTTGGTCTCTCTCCGAGAATAATTATGAATTTAACAATGATTACTGCCTGATGACATTTTCCCACATCTGCAAAGCTCACTGGAACACAAACCGAGGACAATATTTTCCTGATTTAAGGTTTATTACTCAAGTAAGGGTAAAAAAGTATCTGATTAGAAGGCTACTTGAGTACTGAGTACCATCTGGTCTAATATTTTTAAAATGATGACATCAAACAGACAAAAAATAAGAAGTTATGGGCAAATATCGGTATTTTAAAGACTAAAGGGGAAAAATGTAAACAAATAAACAACATAATTACAAAATAAAAAAATTTAGGCAAAATTTAGACACAAACTGAGGACAATATTTTCCTGACATACAGGGTTTATTTAGTTGTCTGAAAATGTAACACGTTTAAAAAAAATACTGAGATAATACCGAAAACCGTGATAATTTTGGTCACAATAACCGTGAGGTTAAATTTTCACACCGTGACAACCCTAGAAGTAGCTGCTGGCTCCTGATTCGCCATCCTTTTGAAAATACTGCGGCGTATTCTGGGGAATTTTTGACACAGGCCAGGTTTGAATACACCTTCTGTGTATCCTTGCTCAGCTAGCTAAAAGGCTAACAAACGAAGAACACGCGCCTCGGTAGAACATGAGCAATTTGGAGCAGCCTTGGCGGTTCCTGATGATGTATCTCCTAGGCAACCGGGGTAGGACCAAGACATCAAGGCGAGGTTCCTTTACACTGAGGAACGGACCTTACCTTCCTCCTGAGAAGTTCTTCTCTGCTGGTTGGGTTGTGTGCAGTCCTGGCAGCGACACTGCCCCCGGGTGTTCATGTGCTGCATTGCAGTTAAAAACATCCGAGTTAAGATAAAGAAAAAACCTGTATTGATGATTTTTTAGATAAATTTCAGCTTAAAGCATAACTAATTGTTGGTTTCTGCTGTGATGGGTGTCGTGTTTTAGTTTCTTAGTTTTTCTGCTCATTGAAATTCAAACCTGCATTCTTCCTCCTCCGAATCTTTTTCTGCACCAGATTTCATGGCAGCAGCCCACACGCCGTCATTAACTACATGTTTATGCATGTGACATTTTCTTCATACTTTCTCTTTTTGTTTATTGTAGTATTGTGTGCCAAGAACCTCGCAAAGAAAGACTTCTTTCGTAAGTATTTTTACGTCAGTGTTTTTGTAAATATTATTATTTTGTTGCAACAATGGAAACAGAGAGCTGGTGTGTGTGTGTGTGTGGGTGCAGGTCTACCAGATCCATTTGCCAAGGTGGTGGTAGACGGATCGGGCCAGTGCCACTCCACCGACACCGTCAAGAGCACACTGGATCCCAAGTGGAACCAGCACTATGACCTGTGAGTTTCCTTTCTGTAAAGATGTTTGACTTTGATGAAAATGTCACAATATATTCAAAATGATGAATGGAACTTGTTCTCCAGCTACATCGGGAAGACGGACTCCATCACCATCAGTATATGGAACCATAAGAAGATCCACAAACGACAGGGGGCGGGGTTTCTGGGCTGCATACGGCTGCTTTCCAACGCCATCAGCAGGCTAAAAGACACAGGATGTAATTCTAATTCGTCGTGGTTTAAAACTTTCCTTTGACTCATTTATCATGACTGAGATTAAAACCCTGAGTTTGCTTCCTCCTCCAGACCAGCGGTTAGATCTCTGTAAGCTGAACCCCTCTGACAGCGATGCAGTCAGGGGTCAGATTGTAGGTAAGACTATTTGTCCAAAATGGTGTTTTTCTCGCGTCGTCCCTTCCTGTCCCTCGCCCTGTCAGCACTTTAATCTGGTCGTTCTTGTTGTTTACAGTTAGCCTACAAACACGAGACCGCATCGGCAGCGGCGGGCCGGTGGTGGACTGTAGAGGCCTGCTGGAAAATGAGGCGTAAGTGTGTTGCCACGTGTTTTTGCTGAATTTATCAAACTCCATCCTGTGAATAAGGTCACCACAAAATTTGGGAGCAAAATATGTTTTCTTACTGGTTTGATCACCGTTAGTTTAAGCTGTGAGGTTTGTTTTCTTTTTGGTGCAGGCCTGTTTTTGAGGGATGTTTCAGCGAGGAGCCGCTCCCCTACTCTGACCCCACTGGTGCTGCGGGAGGCGGGAACTGCCGGCTGGACTCCCCAAATCAGGAGAGCCGTCTTCCATCGCAGCGAATCAGGGGGCAGGACTCCAGAGGTCACGGCCACACCCCTCAGAACAGGCCGCACGGGCATCAGCCGCCTGACCTGCCGGAGGGATACGGTTAGTTTAACAGCAAAGGTTTTATCCAACCCAAACTTGACTCAGATAGTTTCTAAGGCCGTTTTATCTGTTTTTGCTTTAAAAACAGAGCAGAGAACAACAGTTCAGGGGCAGGTGTACTTCCTTCACACACAGACAGGGGTCAGCACCTGGCACGACCCTCGGATACCACGGTGAGCGATCACACATTGCTGCTTCTCTCACTCTCCAAACATCATCCATATGGAACTAGGATTGGGACAGTTTTACATGTAACTTGTACCAAGCTTTGTAACCCGTAACATGTTGCAACTTTCGTTTTGTAACACGTAACATTTGGTACATAACTTGAAACTTTCATTTTGTAACTTTCAGAAAAAAAGTCAGTGCACAAGTTCCAAATCACAAGTTTCAAAACACAAATCTCAGTCTACAGTTACAAAACATTTTGTCCCAATTCTAGCTTCCTTCTCAAAGAACCAATGACGGGCTTTGTCTGACCAGCCAATCATGAGTCTTAGATTCCTGTCGAGGACAATTCCTGTTGGAAGCAAGCTAGAATTGGGACAAAATGTTTTGTACTTGTAGACTGAGATTTGTGTTTTGAAAGTTGTGATTTGGAACTCGTGCATTGATTTTTTTCTGTAAGTTATAAAATAAAAGTTTCATGTTACTTACCGAAGTTGCATGTTACAAACTGAGAATTACATGCTACAATACTAAAGTTACATGTTACAAGTCACATGTAATAATGTCCCAATCCTAGCTCCATACACCCAGAAACAGGCGAGAATAAACAAGAATACAAGGTCCTGGTGCATTTCATAGAAATAACTTCATGAGAATAAAAAGATCAGAAGAAACGATGCAGCAGCCGCTGATATTTCAACGTTAGTTTGGTTCTAATCTAAGCTACGAGAAAATGCTGGTTTTGATGTTTAAAGAGCAAGTCACTCCAAATCAACATTTTTTTGCTGATAAACTATATAAATGAGTGTCTGATTGCTGTAGACAAATGTAGTCAATAATTTGGCATTTTAGTGCATCTTCATTAAAATTTTAATTTTCTGCCTAAAACTGTCAGTGATGCACCGTCGTCAGGCAAAAACTCAGCACTGCATTTGCATTCTGCCGTCGCTATTGGCTAAGAGGTACACTATGATGTCAAATGGTACATTATGATGTCACAATGTCGTGAGTGTGTGTATTTGTTAGAGGCTCCACCCTCTCGGTCTGCTAGGCAACAGCATTTGTTGCATTTTTCAAACAGGAAGTGGGAGTTGAGTAAGAATCTGGTAGGGGGTGACTTGCTCTTTAAAATCTGGAAACGATTGAATAACTCAAAGTCACAATCAGAGGGATTCCATTAGAAAATATATTAAAAAATCATAACAACCTGCTCTACAAATGTTTTCCACTTCTCCCTCCCTCTGGTTGAAAGTGGAATCACAACTGTCAAACAACTCAGCCGCTGCCTGCTGTAGCTAACGCTAACAATGAGCTAATGCTAACACGAGCCAACTAAAACCAAATAAGCCACGAAGTTAAAAGATCCACAACGTTGGACAAAAAATCTTATTACTTACAAGTTCAGTAGCAACAAAGCCAGGTCACCATCAGTCTCTGATTTCATATCCTTCTTTAGCTCCCTCAAACTAGCGTAGGCCGCGACGATGTTCACTCAGGTTTTATCTCCGCTTCATCTCCAAAGACATTGCTCTCTTACTTTTACTTCCAGGCTCCGCCATGATGCCAACAGAAAAAGCAAAATTCTTCTTTTTTTATTGACAATCGCCAAACTGATAAAGCTAACTGCTAGCCTTTATATTAGCTACCGGGAGAGTGGACAGCTGTTGCCCACTGGTGTTTTCTACCAGAACCATAAAACTGTGCGACTGCTTGTGGCGCAGGGACCTGGCCAGTGTGAGCTGTGAAGAACTCGGGCCGTTACCGGTGGGCTGGGAGGTCCGGAGCACCGTGTCCGGCCGCATCTACTTTGTGGACCACAACAACAGAACCACACAGTTCACAGACCCACGTCTCCACACCATCATCAGGTGGGCCATCTTCAGATCCTCATCTGTCTTTAACAGATGAGCCGATTCCCTCCTGAGTGCTGGACGTTTAGTCTGCTAAACGAGTAGTTTTAAGATTGTCTTCTCGTTAATCTAATCTGCTGATGTGAGTAAGAAACACGTCTGGATCTGAACATGACGTGCTAACACTCACCAGCTCTGCTAGCGCGGCTGAATCATGTGGTTTACAGAAATGTGGGCTTAAGGGAGGTTTAGCAGGTGTGTGTAATCCGGGCGTTCTTCCATCTCATCGTGTTTTCTCTCATCTGCTCTCCTTCCTCGGCTTCATCTCCACCCTCCAGCCAGCACTCCCAAGTGAAGGAGACCCCCCAGGCCCCTCAGATTGATGTGGGAGTGGAGGAGGGGGGAGTCGGCAGCGGAGGCGGAGGAGGAGACGGAGATGTAGCGGTGCGCTACGAGAGAGACTTGGTGCATAAGCTGAAGCTGCTCCGCCATGAGCTGTCGCTGCAGCAGCCTCAAGCGGGACACTGTCGCATCGAGGTGTCCCGAGAGGAGATCTTTGAGGTGAGAGAAAGAGCAGCAGATGATTAACGACCTTTGAACCCTTTTCTTTTAATGTCGTCAGCTCCAGCCTCATTTTGGGGAGATTATTAGTTTTTTTTTTTTTATTCAAACATTTATTGTTCAACAACGTAGTTCAACAACATAAATGCTGGTAAGGACAATAATGTTAGCCTGAGCTGCTAACACTCAGAGGTAAATAACAGAAGATTGTTGAAGCACGACTCACCTTCCAACATGTACTTGGAGTTCCAGATTATGAATGAATGAACACTTTGTGTTTGTCACCCCCCTCCCCCCCTACAACTGCCATCTTGTCTCCTGATCAGTGAGGCTAACGCTAGCTCACTTCCTCTCTCTGGTCATCACATATTTTGTTGTGGTTCTGGTCAAGTGTCCATCACAAAACGAAAAAAAAAAGACATTTTTCTCCTAAATCAGACGAGGTTTCTGCGCTTAACTAACCTCTTCTCAGCTTCTCCACCAGGCGTCATTAGCTCAAAGAGTTAAACTGTGTGTGTGTGTGTGTGTGTGTGTGTGTGTGTGTGTGTGTGTGTGTGTGTGTGTGTGTGTGTGTGTGTGTGTGTGTGTGTGTGTGTGTGTGTGTGTGTGTGTGTGTGTGTGTGTGTGTGTGTGTGTGTGTGTGTGTGTGTGTGTGTGTGTGTGTGTGTGTGTGTGTGTGTTACAGGAGTCCTATCGTCAGATAATGAAGATGAGGCCCAAAGACCTGAAGAAACGCCTGATGGTGAAGTTCAGAGGGGAGGAGGGTCTGGATTACGGAGGAGTGGCCAGGTGATTTTTTTAGTCCTGTTTCTGGGCAGCCAGCGTTTGGTGGTTCTGCTTTAGTTGGTGCAGCTGTGGCCGGGGCACACAGAAGACAGATGCGCCGCGCCGCGTCACGCCTGCTATATGCAGGACTTTAAAAACATACCAGAACAACACTCCGTGGCGCAGCTGTCTACATCATTGTGGAGTACTCCTCTTCTTTTTTCTTATTTAACACAGACAGTGTAGCCATTTGATGTTTTTCTACCTAAACATCAAATCGCTACACTGTGTTAAATAAGAAAAAAGAAGATGATTATGAACCAAAACGCAGAACGAACATTCAGAAGAATTGAGGAGTACTTTACAATTCAATTCAAGCTTATTTATTAAGCTCCAAATCAAGACAAGAGTCGTCTCAAGGCACTTCACATAGTAAACATTCCAATCCAGGTCAGTTCACCAATCAGAAAAATATTTCCTATATAAGGAACCCAGCAAATTGCATCAAGTCACTGACTAGTGACGGTCTTTACAGCAATCCTCATACTAAGCAAGCATGAAGCGACAGTGGAGAGGAAAACTCCCTTTTAACAGGAAGAAACCTCCAGAGGATCCTGGCTCAGTATAAGCAGCTATCCACCACGACTCACTGGGGATGGAGAAGACAGACAGACAGAAGTGTTTCTATGGTTACATTGTGATTTCTTTGTAAATATTGATGAGAGATAAACTTTACTGTATTTATCCTAGTGAATCTATAATTAAACGGGTAAACTAGTAGTAGCACATTCAATGTACAACAGACATTACGACGCAGAACGACTTTACGGCACAAAGCCAACCGCCAAAACATGGACGAGGAGCTTATAAAGGCTACTTGACTACAGTATTGATACTTTAAAGTACTATTGATCTTAAAATATTCTAATAAACAGAGTACTCACCCATTTTTAATGAATTAGTTTCACAAAACACGACAGCAGTCTGATCACATATAAACAAGAGTCACTTTCCACTTCCTGTTCTCAAGTCCCACGTGATGTTGTGACTGTCTCGTGACGCTCAGCGATGCAGATATTCCTGTGTGACCCCAAAACTGCGGCGCTTCCGTCTTCTGTGTGCCCCAGGCTCACAGACACCGATGTAGTAGTACTAGTAGTACTAGTAGGGTTAGTAGTAGAAAGTGTGTTCCTTTATCAGTGTGTTAAACGTATGAGAGCTGTCTTTCAGACTGTGAAAATGTTTTTGAGTTTTAATATTTTGCCTTAGTCGTGTTAAAAGTCTTGTTCTCTGACAAACGTGTTCTTTTGAAAGCCGATCGGACACTCCGAGTTCCTCGTGCAGGCTGAATGTGAAAAATAGTCTTCTACCCCTATTTCCTGCTTTCGCCGCAGAAGGAAATAGATGAGGAAATGCTCGTGTCAGAGAGGAAATTAGCATTAATGGCCCCGCCCACCTTTGCTTCAGTCGTGAAGGCAGAAGGTTGTTATTGATTTAGCATCCAGGAGAGAGCAGAGCACAACTCGGCTAGTAGAGGCTAACCGTTAGCATTAGCAACTCCACAACACGGGTAAAAAAAACAACCTTTAATGTGTGATTCTAGATCAGCCCGGTGCTGTTGTTTCTCTGTAGGACCGGTAACCCGTCCATGTGCGACTAGACGACGTGTTCCTGCTCCATCAGAGTGGTTAGATTAGCGTCTAACAGGGCGTTTTGTATCATATCTGGCTGTTATTGGTGTGATTTGTCAGTGTAAGCGTCTGAAACAGCCTGTGTGTGTCTGTAGGGAGTGGCTGTACCTGCTGTGCCATGAAATGTTGAACCCTTACTACGGCCTGTTCCAGTACTCCACCGACAACATCTACACACTACAGATCAACTCCGACTCCTCCATCAACCCCGTGAGTGTCCCTTTGTGTGTGTGGGTGTGTGTGTGTGTGTGTGTGTGGGGGGGGGGGGGTTGATCCAGACAGTCTCTGACTCGATTCCTGTCTCTTCAAGGACCACCTGTCCTACTTCCACTTCGTGGGTCGGGTCATGGGCCTGGCGGTCTTCCACAGCCACTACATCAACGGGAGCTTCACGCTGCCCTTCTACAAGCAGCTGCTCGGGAAACCCATCCAGCTCAGTGACCTGGAGACCACAGACCCAGAGCTGCACAAGAGCCTCGTCTGGATACTGTGAGGAACTTCCCTCTGATCTCAGAGCAGCTCAGGCCGACGTTGGTGTAACCCGGTTCAGACCTTTAGCACTAAACGGGGTTACAGTAGCCTGCTGCTTTAGCTCATCGTGCATTTTCACTTGTGTTTAATGTTCTTTGTGCAGAGAGAACGACATCACTTCCGTCCTCGATCACACGTTCTGCGTGGAGCACAACGCTTTTGGGAAGTTCTCCCAACATGAACTGAAGCCTAACGGCAGGAACGTCTCTGTTACGGAGGAGAACAAGAAGGAATACGTCAGGTAGGAGCAGACGATTGGTCGACACGTTTCCTGGGTCGGGTGTCTTCATCCTGTCTGTGGTTACGGCGCGTTGCAGACTCTACGTGAACTGGAGGTTCATGCGGGGAATCGAAGCCCAGTTTCTGGCTCTACAAAAGGGATTCAGTGAGCTGATCCCACAGCACCTCCTCAAACCTTTTGACCATAAAGAACTTGAGGTGAATGTCTCAGCTCTGAACCACGGATCCCTTTTTAAATGTTGTTTTGATTTGTTGCGTTTGAGTCGGACCGTATCCATCCTGTTGTCCTCTCGTCCCTCCAGCTGATAATCGGCGGGCTTGGAAAGATAGACCTCGCGGACTGGAAGGCCAACACCCGCCTGAAACACTGCACAAGTGAGAGCAACGTGGTCCGGTGGTTCTGGCAGGCTGTGGAGGACTTCAGCGAGGAGAGGAGAGGGCGCCTCCTGCAGTTCGTCACAGGCTCCACCCGGGTGCCGCTGCAGGGGTTCAAAGCTCTGCAGGGTGGGTCATGTCCTGACACACACACACGCACGCACACACACACACACACACACATGCACGCACACACACACACACACACATGGTTACTCATAAAAGTTTAAAAACAACAAAGAGACACACAGCTAACCAGGATCAGGGCTGGACGGATACTAAAACACAATCATGTCCTGCTAAGACCCGAGTCTGGGCCTCGCATGTTTACATCGTTACTCTGGAGACACAAATAACAAAAACGGGATAAAGATTAACGATCAGTTCCTCTGTGATGTCCTTTTATTCAGCTAATACTGGATCATTCCTACACCCAGTAGCAGGCTTTAGGAGGTTGTAGCCGTGTCAGATTAAAGCTCGAGTCCTGATTTAAAGTCGGGTCACAGTTCCCTTCTGATTACAATTATTTTTCTTAGCTTAAAGAAAAATCCACAGCAGCAGGATATTCCTCACATGGCCGTTATTCGCTCCTCGCGCTCATTCTCGGGACCTCGTAGCCCCTCCCACTTTTCTTTTCACAATAAAGTACAGGAAACAAAATACAAGCTATATGCAGGACATTTAAAACATACCAGAACAAACAAATAGTGACTAAATGAGATAAATTCAAATTAAAGAATAGACTTTTATAAGTTTTATTACTCATTTGCAGCAGATTTATAAGTTCAGTGTGAGCACTATGGCCTCATTTATCACGTCTGCCCTGCGGGGCACCTAGCTGCTAATGCTAGTTTTTACGTTTTACTGAAGAAAAACTCAATTCTACAATCTGACCTTCAGAAATATCAGTATAAATGTTGTTAATCAATCAAAATTAAATTAGAGATCCATTCTTCTCATCCTATCCTTTATTATCGTTGCTTTGCTCATCACAATGATGATGTGCTCAAAAGAGACATTTAGTTTTTGTGTAGAAGTTATAAACAATCGTTAAAGCTAAAAGTTAAAACTAAAATGAAACAGAATTTAGAGGGAAACAAGCCCTGAAAAAAAGAATTAAACCTGCAGCAAAAACACTGTGCTCGGTCTAGCCGTTAGCGTGTCAATCCTGTTGGATGAAACACTATTTCTCTTTAGAGGAAGCTTAAAATAGTTATTAACTATCAGTTTTACACATAAAAACACTTAAAATGGCTGACTGAACTAAATGTGTGTCTGATCAAGTTTGAGCTTTAACTGGATGTTTGTAGTTTGGACTGAGGAGTGGTCTGTCTCCCACGGTAGCGCAGTGATAACTAGAATGAATGTGTGTAAGGCTCTACAGGTTCTGCAGGACCAAGGCTCTTCACCATCCATTTGATAGACGCCAACACGGACAACTTACCCAAGGCGCACACATGGTGAGGACACGTATGACGCGGCGTGTGGCGTCCTCTGCAGATTGGTGGCTAACGCTTGTTTCCTGTGTCCAGTTTTAACCGGATAGACGTCCCTCCCTACGAGTCTTACGAGAAACTTAATGAGAAGCTGCTGACGGCCGTGGAGGAGACCTGCGGCTTCGCTGTGGAGTGACCTGTCCACGTGCACACAACTGTTCAACACACACGCACAGACAGAACTTCATGTATGCTCCGAGTATACAGTGCAGCCAAGCATCACACACACACACACTCCCTAGCCACCTCCGAACTGTTGGGGGTAAAGGAGGAAGCACAGCAGCAGCAGGAGGAGGAAAAAACAAGTATTTTAAATTTTTTCAGACATTTTGAAGAAGAATTTTTATCCTTCATTTTTAACGAGCTATGATGTCATTCTTACGAATGTCCAACCACGACAAGTCTGACTCCAAACTCAGCCAATCGCACGAGAGCCTGCAAACACAGACGGTTGATTCATCGACTTCATGGTTACTTCATGGTTAACCACTGTTCTGTGTGTGTGTGAGTGTGTGTGCGCGCGTTCATGCATGCGTGTGTGAGTATGGAAAGCCAAAGGTCACAATAAAGCGCACGTTTTGAATGTGCGTAATGGCCGTTTTGGAAAGCCAATATTAAGCAGACAATAATTAATAAAATTAAAATAAATAAAATCTGCTTTAGGTGAGTCGAAAACAAAGTAAATAAAAGAAGATGAGTCCTGATACTTGAAACCGTTTAAAGGGTTAAAACGTCATACTGGCAAGAAGTGTAGCTAATAAAAAATTATATATATATATATATTACAGTTTAACCCTCTATTGATAAACTGTTCAAAGTATCAGAACAAAACTTTTTTTACATTCTTTGTTTATCTAGCCAGCTAAAGCAGCTTTTTTTTAATCCATCACCATTGGCTTTCCATACAGGATTTGGCGAGCACGGTGCAAGTTTTTTACGGGCGCCTTTTTGTTCCCTTGGTCGTCCTGCCGCGCATTTTATTGTCACCTTTGACTTTCCATAATTTGAATGGTAAAACGAGCCTCTGTTGGCTTTTGTCTGCGACCACTCTGATCCACTCTGATGTTTTATTCTTATTTATTACTAAGTGATTACTGACCACGCTGCTACGGGCTCTACGACGAGCCATCACTAATCTCTTAATCAGCCCTCGATTAGAGTTGAAGGGTTAATTTTCACGCAATGCAAGTAATCCACAAAGTGGGTTTTTATTGACTTTTGTTACTTTGAACATCCATATTCCTGTGGAGGGAGTAAGCTCTAGACGGTGAATGAAAATGTGTTCCAGAATACCAGGTTACATTTGTCTAAATGTAGAGGAAGTGATTTTTCTTGGCCCTGGTGTTGAAATCAATCATATTTGAGGTCATTTGAAGCTTTTATTTTTATTTTATTTTTTACAGATTTAGTCTAAACCGGGATGGAGAAACAGCCAGATTTAGGAATCCTTCATCCATGTTGTCTGTATTAAAATCTCTTCAGTCTTTTGTACATGTTGCATTACCCGTAATGCCATCTTTTATTCATAACACCCCATGTCCTGAGTGTTAGAAATGCTAGACTCCATGAATGAATCTATTTCCGCTCCATGAAACTTTGATGAATAAAAGCTCAAAGAAGAAACAATGTTGTAGATTGAAGACTGTTAAGCAGTATTATTTCAGTCTGCATTGTCTATGGTCTGATTTCACTGTGTAATGGATGCAAAAGTATTGTAACTTACAATGTACTAAACATTTATGAACGAATACAATGTAAATAAGATTATATTAAAAGAAATTACATTGAGAATAAGGTTTTCTACTTTGTGGCTTTTTTTTTTTGCTCTAGAAAATTGGGGAGAACATGACGCTCTACACACCAGGAAGAGTCCTACCTATCCTGTAAAAATAGTCTTGTGCTTTATAAAAATAAGCTTCAACAAGCTAGAACCGCATATTTTTCTTCGTTAATTGAGGAGAATAAGAATAATACTAAACTTATTTTCAGTACGGTTGCCAAACGTTCAGAGAATCATAGCTCAGAACCATCTATTCCCTTAGCCTTCAGCAGCGACTTTATGGGAATTCTATTAGATACAACATCATTAGCATCCTCCCTAATGCGATTTCTTCTTCCTCAGTAAGTGAGGCAGTATCAGAGGTAACTGTAGAACCTCATTTGTGTTTGAACTGTTAAAAATATTAGCTTAATCTAAACCTTCAACTTGCATTTTAGATCCAATCACAACCAAATTATTTAAAGATGCATTTCCTTTGGTTACTGCCCCCATTCTGTTTATGTTTATGTGCTTAGCAGACGCTTTTACCCAAAGCGACTTACAAATTTTTTTTACCTATAGGGCATGTTGTGATCTGTGGGGGAAACCGGAGTACCCGGAGAAAACCCACGCATGCATGGGGAGAACACGCAACTCCACACAGAAAGGCTGCAGCCGAGTTTCGAACCTGCGACCTTCGTGTTGCGAGGCAACAGTGCTAACCACTGCGCCACCATGCATATATAATCAATCTATCCTTAGTAAATGGATACATACCACAGGATTTTAAGGTTGCTGTAATCAAACCTTTACTTAAGAAGCCTTCTCTGGATCCAGATGACCCAATGAATTATAGACCAATGAGCATTTAAACACTAATGCTCTGTTTGAGGAATTTCAGTCTGGTTTTAGAGAGTATCACAGCACTGAAACTGCATTAGTGAGAGTTACAAATGATATTCTTATGGCCTCAGATAGGAATCTTGTGTCTGTTCTAGTCTTGTTAGATCTCAGTGCTGCTCATTTATAAAGCTTGCTTGTGCACAAAATGGGGTCGGAATACTGTAAGCAACTTTCCACGCAAACTTTGGGGTTTATAAAAGAAAACAGCAGAAACGTGCACAACTTTATGTTGACTAAGGACCTTGCTTACGCACATTTTGGACATGGAGAACACTTGCAGTGCTGCTGCTGAGAAGGATAAAATTTTGAATTCCAGCAGCATTATCTCTTGTACCATTTCATGCACACACAGAACAAGCCCCCCTCGCTTCCTTGATCTGCGGTCGCCATCGATAATAGTGGACTGCTGCAACAAGCCAGCTTATGTAAATGCATGAGATCCACAAGCCACTTTGCATTGACCATTTATGGCAGAAAGTGGGCGTGTTGAGGGCGGGATGTTATCCAGAAACAGCTGAGCACATTTCTAGGTAGTTTGTGATTATAAAGCGGAGATTGCGTGAAGCTGTGCGTACTCTGTTTTATAGGTCACAAACTTACTTGGCGCAAGTACATTTTTTTGCCGAGCTTAAGTACGGTTTTAGTAAGGATTCTACGCAATGTTTTATAAGAAGAAGAAAGTATCATTTCTATAGCGCCTCTCAAGATAAAAATCACGAGGCGCTTCACAAAAACAAAAAATATGTAAAAATATTAAAAAGCATTTAGAAAATGTTTAAAAATATATTTAAAATGAGCAAAAATATACAATTGGGATTTAAAAGAAAAAATGTTAAGAAAGAGAGAGAGTGAATAGGAAAGAGGGAAATCAGTGGATGCTGAGGAAGGTGGAATAGGTGGAGAGAGCAGAATAAAGAGAGAGGTGAAGAAGGTCATACAAAAGCCAGCTTGAACAGGTGAGTCTTCAGCTGCTTTTTGAAGGAGACCACTGAGTCCACTGATCTCAGGCTCAGGGGAGAGAGGTCCAGAGTCTGGGGGCCACAGCAGCAAATGTTCTGTCACCTTTGGTCTTTAGCCTGGTGCTGCACAACCAGTAGGCTTTTGGGCCATTCCCATCTGTACCGGGTCGGCCCGGGCCGGGTAGCGTATTGTTTACATATCTGGGTGGCCTGGTATTTTTCCGGGCCAACCAAGGCTCATTCTCAGCCCTCTTCTCGAGGGGGTCTGCTACAGGCCGACCAGGGCCAACACACCCACTGCTGACAGCAAATTCACACCTTCCATTAGAGCAAGCATCTGATTGGTGGGTAGAATCAGCCCACATGGGCTTAAGACAAGGATGTGTGGAAACAACTGGGCCAGGCTGGGGCCGACTGGGGCTACCCGGCCCGGGCCGACCCGGTACAGATGGGAATGGCCCACTAGATCACTGGACCTCAGGGACCTGCTGGGGGTGTAGGGACTAAGAAGATCACCAATGTAAGATGGTGCTTGTCCATGTAAGGCCCTATAGACCAGAACCAGGATCTTGAAATGAACCCTGAAGTTGACTGGCAGCCAGTGAAGCTGGAGGAGAAGCGGGGTGATGTGGGTGTGTTTGGAGGACTTGGTCAGAAGCCAAGCACAGGCATTCTGAATCACCTGTAGACGGTTCAGGGAGGTTCTGCTCAGACACGTGAAAAGAGAGTTGCAGTAGTCTAAGCGTGAGGAGATGAAGGTGTGGAGAACAGTCTCAAGTTCAGAGCAGGACAGAACGGGACTCAGCTTAGTAACGTTCCTGAGATGGAAGAAGGAAGAGCGAACAAGAGAACTGACATGAGGATCCAGGGTGAGAGCTGGGTCAAAGGTCACGCCAAGATTCCTGACGGAAGGTTTGGTGTGAGAAGCAAGCTGACCAAGAGAGTCTCTGACTTTGGGAACCAGCTTGTCTGGGGCACAGATGAGGATCTCAGTCTTATCTTCATTCAGCTGTAGAAAGCTCCCAGCCATCCAGGTTTTGATAGAGTCTAAGCAGGTGTGTAACAGCTGCAGCTTAGACATCTCATGGGGCTTAAAGGAGATGTACAGTTGGATGTCATCTGCATAAAGATGGTAGGAGATTCCTTTGAAGGAGCTCAGGATGTGCTGAAGAGGAAGCAGATAGAGGAGGAAGAGCAGAGGCCCCAGCACAGAACCTTGTGGGACACCATGGGTAAGAGAGGTGTTGGAGGACCTAAACTTGGAGACGGCCACAGAAATGGAGCGCTCAGAGAGATAAGAGGAGAACCACTCCAGAGCAGATCCTGATAGGCCTACCCAGTCTCTGAGCCTCTCCAGTAGCAGGTGATGGTCAACAGTAAGTAAACTAATAAATGAGACCCATGATTCTTCCATATGTTCCTAAAAAAGCACTTCACTCGCAGACTGCAGGTTTACTGGTGGTTCCTGGAATATCTAAAAATAGGATGGGAGGCAGATCTTTTAGCTATCAGGCTCCTCACTTGTGGAACCAGCTCCCAGCTTTAGTCCGTGAGGCTGACACCTTGTCTACTTAAACTCTTTATAGGGCACTCATTGAAGTAATTTAATGTTTTAAATTTCAACCCCAGGGTGTTGTAGTACATAATTCAAGTGTATTTCTGCTGTTACAATTTTCAAAAATATTTATTTTCATGCAGAAAATCTGAGAAAACAAAGTGGGCAAATATGGACGTTGGCCCTGTTCTGGTAAAAAGAAATCCCAAAATAAAGTGCATGAACAAGTTAAATAATATTTTTTAATAATATAGATATTTATGAGACACTTTACAATAATCTAATTCTAGAACATTATGTCACTGTTCAAAATACAGAATATATCACAATATAGTGTATTTATTTGAGTATCATCCATCCATTTTCATCCGCTTATCCGGAGTCGGGTCGCAGGGGCAGTAACCGAAGTCGAGAGGCCCAGACTTCCCTCTCCCCATTTGAGTATCATCTGTAAATCTGAATATTGACTTAATTATACTGCTTATGTGGAGAATGGTTGTTTTTGAATTGTAGTCATTATTCAGCAGTTAATTTTATTACTGTTTAGTAAAACGTTAATGTTAGTTTGTGATTCTGTGATTATATGTTTAAGTATATTTAGCCTGAGCAGATTTAGTTCTGACGTTTTTAAATCTTTACTTGAAAGAACAAGTTTCCACCATTTTGGGTGCAAACCGGTAACATGGCACAAGTACAGTTGATCTAAAAAGGTGTATTTCTGCAGCTGGTGAGAAACTGAATCAAGAATGATACGCATGCTGATCTTTCAGGAGAGTTTGTTTGCATAGTGTTGATCTGTATAAATATGTGTGAATGTTTGGTTCTGTGCAGATGCTTGGTAAATACATATGCAGCCAGCTTACAGTGGTGTGAAAAACCATTTGCCCCCTTCCTGATTTCTTGTTCTTTTGCATGTTTGTCACACAAAATGTTTCTGATCATCAAACACATTTAACTATTAGTCAAAGATAACACAAGTAAACACAAAATGCAGTTTTGAAATGATAGTTTTTATTATTTAGGGAGAGAACAAAATCCAAACCTACATTGCCCTGTGTGAAAAACTAATTGCCCCCTGAACCTAATAACTGGTTGGGCCTCCCTTAGCAGCAATAACTGCAATCAAGCGTTTGCGATAACTTGCTACGAGTCTTTTACACGCTCTGGAGGAATTTTGGCCCACTCATCTTTGCAGAATTGTTGTAATTCAGCTTTATTTGAGGGTTTTCTAGCATGAACCGCCTTTTTAAGGTCATGCCATAGCATCTCAATAGGATTCAGGTCAGGACTTTGACTAGGCCACTCCAAAGTCTTCATATTGTTGTTCTTCAGCCATTCAGAGGTGGATTTGCTGGTGTGTAAGTAAGTAAGTAAGTAAAAGTTTATTTATATAGCGCCTTTCACAGATATAAATCACAAAGCGCTGTACAACATGATTAAGATCAGGGCAAATACCTCTAACCAATAAAAACATCAGAAAAACAATAGCAGTAATAAAATAGAAAATAAAATCATGAGTATAAACAAAGTGAAGGTGTGAACCCAAACAAAGCCATCATTCTGAAACATTTAGGGAGGGAACGCCTGGATGAAAAGGTGAGTTTTTAGATGATTTTTAAAGACCTCTACAGTGTTAGAGAGACGGAGATTTGAAGGCAGACTGTTCCAAAGTCTGGGTGCAATAGTCTGAAAGGCCCTGTCCCCTTTGGTTTTCAGTCTGGTTCGAGGAACAGCCAGGAGATTTTCAGATGTGGATCTAAGGTTCTGAGAGGTGATGTGTGGGGATAAAAGCTCAGATAGGTAGCTTGGAGCCTGGTTGTTAAGAGCTCTATAGGTCAGGACTAAAACTTTAAACTGAATTCTATATTCTACCGGGAGCCAGTGGAGGGACTGTAAGCTCCCAGCCATCCAGGTTTTGATAGAATCTAAGCAGGTGTGTAACAGCTGCAGCTTAGACTTCTCATGGGGCTTAAAGGAGATGTACAGCTGGATGTCATTTGCATAAACATGGTAGGAGATTCCTTTGAAGGAGCTCAGGATGTGCTGAAGAGGAAGCAGATAGAGGAGGAAGAGCAGAGGCCCCAGCACAGAACCTTGTGGGTTCTCTCATCTTGGTGTGTTTTGGGTCATTGTCCTGCTACAGCACCCAAGATCGCTTCAGCTTTAGTTGACGAATAGATGGCCGGACATTCTCCTTCAGGATGTTTTGGTAGGCAGTAGAATTCATGGTGCCATTTATCACAGCAAGCCTTCCAGTTCCTGAAGCAGCGAAACAACCCCAGACCATCACACTACCACCACCATATTTTACTGTTGGTATGATGCTCTTTGTCTGAAATGCTGTGTTACTTCTACGCCAGATGTAACGGGACATTTGCCTTCCAAAAAGTTCATGTTTTGTCTCATCAGTCCACAAGGTATTTTCCCAAAAGTCTTGACAATCATTGAGATTGTGGCAAGGTGGAGTAACAAGGGCCCGGGTGGGATTCGATCCCCAGGCTCCCGGGTGAGAGTTATGCGTGCTTAAGTCAGCCAAAGGGACATCCCCTTTGTCAAGTAGCCAGGGCACATGATCAATCGGGACACTGTGACAGGATGCTCACACTGTCACAAGATGTTTCTTAGCAAAATTGAGACGAGCCCTAATGTTCTTTTTGCTTAACAGTGGTTTGCGTCTTGGAAATGCCATGTAGGCCATTTTTGCCCAGTCTCTTTCTTATTGTGGAGTCGTGAACACTGACCTTAATTGAGGCAAGTGATGCCTGCAGTTCTTTAGAAGTTGTCCTGGGGTCTTTTGTGAGTTGTGATGAGTTGTCTCTGCGCTCTTGGGGTAATGTTGTTGCCATTTGTGGATAATGGATCTCACTGTGGTTCACTGTAGTCCAAAGCTTTAGAAATGGCTTTATAACCTTTACCAAACAGATAGATCTCAATTACTTTTGTTCTCATTTGTTCTTGAATTTCTTTGGATCTTGACATGATGTCTAGCTTTTGAGGTGCTTTTGGTCTACTTCTGTGTCATGCAGCTCATATTTAAGTGATTTCTTGATTGAGACGGGTGGCTACAGAAATTGAACTCAGGTGTGAAACACCACAGTTGGGTTATTTTTTATCAAGGGGGGCAATTTACTTTTTCACACAGGGCAATGTAGATTTGTATTTTGTTCTCTCCCTAAATAATAAAAACCATCATTTCAAAACTGCATTTTGTGTTTCCTTGTGTTATCTTTGACTAATGTGTTTGATGATCAGAAACATTTTGTGTGACAAACATGCAAAAGAATAAGAAATCAGGAAGGGGGCAAATAGTTTTTCACACCACTGTACACAGCTGGACCCCAATTGGATTTATTTCCATAAAAGCAAAAGGGGTCCAAACCAAATACCGAGGAAATATATTTTTTTCGTTCAAATAAAACATCCATAAAGCAACGTAGTCGGTTACCAATCCTGAGACTACGTTTCCCAGAATCCTCCAGTGCTACGCAGTAAATTGCGTCATACGTGAGATGCCCTGTTCTTGTTTTGGCAGTTTGTTTCGGTATAGCTTCGCTTGTCGGTTTGCTCAGAAGACGGACTTCAGGGTCCACTACGGAGCCGTGGTATTGTTCATTTCCAACCATGTTTATACTCTTTAAATTTACACCGTCTGCGTTCGCCTTGAAGCTACGTTGTGATAAAAATTCTGACAAGTTAGCTAACTAGTTATCCTGCTAGCTAACAGCCAAGCTAATGAGCGTTAGCTCAGCTGAATGCAGGCTTCCCTCCCTGAGAGAATGTGTGTAAAAACGGAAGTGATTAACATGTTTGTCTTCAAACTCCACCGTCCTAAACTTTATCCCCAGCCAATAACGTTAAGCCTAATGTCGTTAAGGCAGCGGACGTTATTGCGAGAGATAAAGCAGCTCTCATTTAGCGAATTTGATGTGAGTTAACATCACTTAATCTCCTTTTCTCCAACGACACTAGCAGTTAAAGCTAGCAAAATCTTTATTCAAACAACGAAGATTAGCTTCCTAAACGCATCGAACCAACTTTCACTCGAGCCTCTTGTCTGTTTTCTTTAAACCTCTGTTTCTTTTTCTCCGAGCTTCAGTTTTATCAAGATCTCTTTTTATCGAACTGTTGAGGTATTATTATTTTCGCTAAATCTGACTGTTTTTCTGATCCAACTGTTTTCTGTTGCCTTCAATAGTTTGGCAAAAATGTAAGAGTTTAAAAAGCAACGTAGGATTGCCGGGAAATTCCATAGTCAATATTCATCCTTATTTCATGACTCATCCAAAGATGTTTCCCATCAGCTTCATAGCAGGAGCTGAACCCTCTAAAGAGTAAACAAACCTGTTCATTAAAAGGAGTGTTAATAGGTTAGGGTGATAAAAATCATGTACAAAGATAATGGTGTGTGTGTGTGTGTGTGTGTGTGTGTGTGTGTGTGTGTGTGTGTGTGTGTGTGTGTGTGTGTGTGTGTGTGTGTGTGTGTAGATGTTGCTCCTGATTAAGTGAATCTCATTGTGGACCAATTCAGGGAGTTGGTGAGTGTAGTTTCACCATGTCAAATGGAAACAATGAAGATGATGTTATTCTGCTGGCGAGCTTCAACGTCCACCGTAGTCAAGGTGAGAAACATCAGCACACACAGTGTCCTACACACAAGACCAGCTGCATATCTTCAACACCACCTTAAAATCTGTTAAAAACAACACACTCAACCTACCTACAAAGATCTGTATGGTGTCTTTAAACTTTAAAGAGCAAGTCACCCCCAAATCAACTTTTTTTTCTGATAAACTATATAAATGTGTGTCTAATCGTGCTGCAGACACATGAAGTCAATAGTTTTGCACTTTAGTGCATTTTAGTTAAAATTTAAATTTTCTGCCTAAAACTGTCAGTGTTTTAGGTAAAAACTCTGCTCTGCATTTGAATTTAAATCTGCCATCACTATTGGCTAAAAGGTACCCTAGAACGTTAGCTGGTACCATATGATGTCACAATGTCATTGTAAGCCTGTGTGTGTGTGTGTATTTGTTAGTGGCTCTGCCCTCTCGGTCTGCTAGGCAACAGCATTTGTTGCATCTTTCAAACAGGAAGTGGGAGTGGAGTAGGACTCTGGTAGGGGGTGACTTGCTCTTTAATGCTAACCTTGTTGCTTTCTTAAAACATTCTGAGCATTTGAGATTAAAATAAGTTTCCAGTTATCTTGACTTTATTAAAGAGTGATCAGAAAGTTTCAGCTCCCCTCTGAATCTGCATGTGGCTCCACTATAATCTGAGTTTGTCATTCAATTAAATTAAATTCAAAAATACTTTATTAATCCCACAGGGAAATTGATTGCTGTAGTAGCTCAGAATAATAATAATAATCAAGTCATCAAAGAGTTGTTGTATATTACAATGGCTGTTGGCAGGAAGGATCTCCAGTAGCGGTCAGTGGGCAGCCAAACTGAAGAAGCCTCTGACTGAAGACACTCTTCCGTTGTCAGACAGTCTTGTGAAGAGAATGCTCAGGGTTGTCCATCATTTTCTTGATTCTCTGGAGAATCCTTCTTTGCATTATCTCCTCAAGCGGTTCCAAAACTGCTGAAACTCTGGCTGAGTCCTTGAAAGGGCTTGGAGTTCCTCCATCTTGTTGGCCAGTGATCTCACATTGCCCATTATGATCGATGGAAGAGATGGTTTGAATTTCCTCTCTGTCTCCGTTTTGCTCCCACTCTGCACCCACGCTTCTTTTAGCTCATTTGGGATTTGTGGCTTCAGTTGAGGTATTATTTCAGCCTTTCCAATGTTAATCAGCTGCTCCTGATTGTAAACCAGCTTGTTGCCGTGGTTACGCATCATAACAAATGCTCAAAAAGTGAAAAAATAGCAGTAAAAATTAGGGTTGTCACGGTATGAAAATTTAACCTCACGGTTATTGTGACCAAAATTATCACGGTTTTCGGTATTATCGCGGTATTTTTTAAACGGTGTTGCATATGTTCAGAAAGCATTGATAGTCCTGTTCTACACAAACTGAAATAGTTCTGAAAAGGTTTAACAATGTTTATTAAACCTAAAATAACACAAAGCCTTAGCAAAAGTGCAACTTTTCACAAGTAAAGGAACAAATAGCTTATTTTTCTGGAACATGTTACAGTAGTCAGTGCAGGTTTAAATTATACAAATCCAAACATTCGAAACATAAACAATATGTAAACAAATCAAATAAACACCACTTGTTTTCTCATATACTTGTTTTCTTCATTATCAAAATGAAAATCTAAAACTCCAGTCCACACTTGACTTGAGCACTGTACAAGTCAACCTTAAAAATATGTATTTAAAATAAATAGCCACTTTAAACAAATTACTAAAATAACTACTACACTATGTAATCAAATCCAAATGTTCAAGTATAAATGGCATTGAATAAGTAAACAAATCAATGACAAGGAACTAATTGTATATTTCTCTTCATCATCAACAAATAAGATGCTTCATCCAGCAACAGGGTGTCCGTGACACGGTTTAAATGCTGGCAGAGGACGCTGCGGCTGCAGTATATAGTGACTCGTTGCATTCTCCCTCAACCAAAAGTCCTCGCGTCATGCATTTAAGCTAAAATGCTAATGTTATCTTACCTTGCACTGGCTGTAGAGACGTGGGTGATTGTCACGCAGATGTGCCATGAGATTCGAAGTGTTGCTGCCTTTTGCAGACACTTGTTTCCTGCACGTTCTGCAAACGGGATAGCCGTCTTCTATTAACTGTCCCTCAGCATTTTTCAGAAATCCAAAATATGCCCATACTTCCGATTTAGTCTTCTTTGAGGGCTGATGGATGTCCTGGGCGCTGCCGTCTCCTCCTTCGGCCATTATTTCAGCTTCAAAGTTTTGGTGCCGTTGCAAACTAAAAAGTGCGTGTGCGCGCCGCGGGAACTTCAGCTGAAGCGACGGTGGCTGGTAAGGGTCATCGCGCCGAAACCGCGGCCACGGTAAACCCACCGAGATAATATAGTTTTTTAAAAACTGGACGGTTATTTTTATTGTCAACTTTTTTACCGGAGTTTACCGCTATACCGGTTACCGTGACAACCCTAGTAAAAATCCTCTAAGCTTCACAGAAACAGAAACGTAAAAGGTCCAAAAAATAGTTTTTCTTTAGATGCTAGAAGAAAAAATGTCCAAAAAAGGCAAAACTTACTTGTAGTTGACAGAGCTACTCCAACATGCAGCCACCCAGAGCAGCGCGAGAATTTAGAAAGTAATTTGTGTAAATGTGATTAAAAACGTCTTAGGAAGCCAAAGAAAGATTAATGCCCTTTATTTCAGACTTTGATTAAAAAAAGATTAAAGTCACCTGATAAAAGTTTCATTTTGAAACCCGTCAGGAAAGTCCTTTACAGAGAAGTTGTGTTTGCATGAATCCACACGAGGGAATTCTAATGTTGGACTCTAAAAGGAAACCTTTTGTCGTGCTAAAGTCCTAAATACCCTAACTGTGTGATTGTGCTGTCTCAGGCCCTCGTCGCTCTCAGAGGGAGCTCATCACCATTTCAGATGACTCAGATGAGGAACCTGTAGCTTTGTTCCCTGGAAGTCCGGTTCTAGTCCCGGATGATGCCGATGATGATGACGTCAGCATCCTGGAGGTGCCGATCTGTCAGACATGTTTAAATGGTTTCTTTTAATCCAGTTGTTTCTTCTTCCATCGAGCCTTTCCTCGCTGTGTTTCCTTGCAGCCTCCAGCCCATGCACGTAGATCTGTAATCCGCCAAGCAGCCCTATGGAGTGGGATCCTGCACAACTCCGGACAGGTTGGAGGTCAAAGTAGCGCCGCCTCTGTCATTCCCACAGGGGATCCTGGCTCTGCTCCCTCCACCTCCAGGGATGCCAGGACTTCCCAACCAGCCACACACACTCAGACCACAGAGCAGCACAGCACATCCAGACACTCGCTGCCGAAGCCGGCTCCATCCTCGTCCTCGTCGTCATCACCACAAAACCAGTCTCAGCCAAAGCATCAGACACACAGTCAGCTCCAGGAAGGCGTGTCAGCACGCACAAATGTGGAGCTCAGCGCCATTCCGTCTACCTCCACAAACGCCAAGGCTACTGCCACTTCATCCAAGTCACTTTCCCAGTCACAGCCCAGTACGTCTGCTCTGTCCCAGACACCTGCGGGCTCCTCATCACATGATTCTCAGACGAGTGCCTCCTCCAGCTGCGCGCGCATCACAGCCGCATCCTCCTGTTCATCTGCAAAGACTCAAGAAATGGCGAGTACGAGTAGAGGAAAGCCAGACGACGCTCAGGCCAGCACTTCGTCCGCACACGCTCAGTCTCATCCCGGTACTTCCAGCAGCAGCGTACCCGTGCAGCCCCGTGCCAACCCGGTGAAGGATGTGCTCGTTCTTCCTCAGCAGCCAAGCATCCGAGCTTTTGCTCTAGTCACACAGAATCAGCTGCAGAAAAGGTTCCCGAACCCTCCACAGGCCGTGTCGCGCGGTTGTGCACAAGGCAACCTCATTCAGGTGGAGCCCCGCCCCCTGGCCCAGGCACCGGCCCAGGCACCGGCCCCGGCCCAAACCGCAGCCCAGCCCGCCCAGCCTGCCCAGCCTGCCCATCACCCCCTGGTCCTAACTGTGGCTCCTGCTGCTGTTCTCATAGCTGACGCTCCAGAGAGATTAGGTCCTCCCGAAGCCGGTCACAGGATCATCCTGGGGAGTCGGGCATCTGTGGGGCCAGTTCCCAATCCTCCACTGCAACCCTTCAACGGGGCTCCGCCTGCCGGCAACCTCTCCTTCAGACTGCCTCGAGGAAGCCCTCCTAGACCCAACAGTCTGGCTCTAAACCCTGAACAGATCAACCCTGCTCCTGGCCTGGGGGCGGTGCCTCCTGCTCCAGAGGACATTCCCCAAATAGAGGATGCAAGACCTGGACCGTCGGCACCCCAGGAGAGACGGGATGAGCCGTCTCTAGTCCGAACCCTCATCACTGGTGTGGTGAGTCCCACATCTGGGTTGTGTGTTCAGGATCCCAGAGAAGAGTCTCACCTGTTGTTGCTGTCTCTCCTCTACAGCTGGATCTGTTCCCAGATATTCAGGAAGTCTACGTAGCCGAACTGATCCGAAAAAACAACGTGAAAGACTTGAATGTGTAAGAAATCCCTGTGTGTGCGTGAGTGATATCCTCTCTGACCTCATTACTGATGACGTTCTCCGTGTTGTGCTGCTAGGATCTGTAACCTGCTGCTGGAGAATCCAGACTTTCCGAGGAGGGAGACGGCCTCAGCCTCAGCAGCAGCCTCCAGCATCCTCCTGGAGTCCGGAGAAACCCAGACAGAGGTGGGGTTGTTCAAGCAACCAAACTTTATGAAGTGCTTTTCCTACAAACGGTGCAACTCAAAGTGCTTTACAGATTAAAATGACCCTACATAACCCACATTCCCATCCCTTATTGAGCTGAGTTTAGATCAGCCAGATATGGTAGGGCAAGGAAGCTCCATCAGGGGGGCCATCTGCCCCGGCAGCAGCAGCCGGGGTACCGACACAGGTTGCAGAGGGGAGGGAGGGCATGAACCCCACCTCCAGACAGCACCCAGGCAGCAGCAGCCGACCATCGCCCCCGAGTCAGAGGGCTCCCATGGAGGAAACACTGGAAGACAGATTAATATAAGATGAAATCTAAAATAACAGGAGCTACTATAACAGTAAAAGTAAATATATAATAAATAATATAGATGTAGAATAAAACTGTGATTAAAGGCGGGTCTTGAGCCTGCTCTTAAAAACATGGACGTTCTCTGCGGCAGCCTGTTCCAGAGGCGAGGGCCATAGTACCGCCTCACTGTGTGTGTGTGTGTGTGTCCTGACCTTAGGGAAAACAAGGAGGCAGCTGCCAGAGGCCGTGAGGGTTCATGTGGTAACGCAGTCCTGAGAGATAAGTGGGTTCAAGACCGTTAAGACGCTTAAAAACCATTAAAAGAACCTGAAAATCGTTAAGATGGTGGATGAAACCCCACTTTTACCCCAAAATTCCACTATCTCCGCTCCGCTCCGGCACGAACTCCGCAGCAAAAACGGTCCCGTTGTAGTCAATCAGAGCTGTTCCACTACTGCGGCCGTGCGGCAGGGGTCACTTTTAATATACTAATACTGGATTGTGTGGTACGGAGAGGAGCTGCTGCTGGTTGGAGCAGATCTGGACACGAGCCGAGTCCAGAGAAGACTCGTTTCTCTGACTTTGGTTTTCAAGAGAAGCTCGATAATCAAAGCTGTTCTAATTTTCTGCCTTTTCCTGTGATTTTGCTGCCCTGCAGAAATTAAACACCTCCTTAATTAGCTCCGCCTTCTCCTGTGGCAGGAGGAGACCTCGTCAGTGTCTTTTTTTCTTCTTTTTGACAAAAGGAGGGAGAAAATGCAAAATTAGACTTGGACTGTTTAGGAGGCCAATTCTGATTCGTACCTAAGAACCATAATTATAGCTAAAGATGATTAGCAGAATCTAAATATATTTAAAAGTTTCTGAATCGTCTGACAGAAGTTCTGAAGGTGAAAGCATCTTTTTGTTGCTTGATGCATTCACAGGCTTGAAATGGGAAAAAACTTTTTTTTAATTGTTTCATTTTGATTAAAGAGCAAGTCACCCCCTACCAGAGTATTACTCCTCTCTCACTTCCTGTTTGAAAAATGCAACAAATGCTGTTGCCTAGAAGACCGAGAGGTTGGAGCTGTTAACAAATACACACACAGGCTCAGAACGACATTGTGACATCATATGGTACCAGCTAACGTTCCAGGGTACCTCTTAGCCAATAGAGATGGCAGATTTAAATTCAAATGCGGTGCAGAGTTTTTACCTGACAACGGCACAACCCTGACAGTTTTAGGCAGAAAATTAAAATTTTAACTAAAATGCACTAAAGTGCAAAACTATTGACTTCATGTGTCTGCAGCACGATTAGACACACATTTATATAGTTAACCAGGAAAAAAAGTTGATTTGGAGTGACTTGCTCTTTAAAGTTTAAAGACACCATACAGATCTTTGTAGGTAGGGGTAGAGCTGAGGAAATTAATCAAATAATGGATGCATCGGGATGCGGACATAAACGATTCTGCATCGTAGAAGAGTACGCCATAATCGATTTTAGTGGAATGTAGTTTTGTTTTTTTAACGGCGGCACCAGCGCCGCATCCAAATCTGTCAGAGTGAGCGTCCTCCACATTTACCAAGTGGTTCTGCCTTAATGTGGTACTGCAGGGCTGAGCGCTAGAGTTGTAACCTGAGACCGAACCGGAACCGAATCAGCCTGACCGGTTCTGTTGGATTTGGGCCGTGAATTAAGTTATTTGAGCGGGTTGTTGTGCAGTGAGCTCTGCTCGCTTGCACAGCAACTGAGAGAGAGAGAGACTGTCTGCTCACACAAGAGAGGAACGGAGGACGCTCCTCCAAACCGATGCTCCAAACACGCGTTATTATTTTCATAATTTCATTATTATTTCTCCTGGAAGCGCTCAGTCAGACCGAGTGTTGTGATGCTGGGAGATCCGGTCTTGGGGAGGGGGCGGGGTCAATGACGGCAGCTGCAGCGTGATCGTCTGTCTCTTTTATTTAGGGACACGGAGAAGTTAAAAGGAGAGAGAAATAGAAGTTCTTGTTCCACTTTATTCTTTTGTTTCATGAAGATAAACTGATGTTAAATTCAGCTGAAAGAGAAACTGGGAGGAAGCTTTGGTTCATTTTAGGTTACAGAAGGTCTTGTCTCCTGCTCCTCCAGAGACAGCATGGACATGAGGGTTACATGGTGAGGGTCACACAGGTCAGGTTAGTGGAAAGGTTTGTAGTTAGCTGGTTAGTGAAAGAGATCCTTCAGCTGGGTAATTTAATCCTAATCCAGCCCACAGCCTTCTGCTGGTGTTATTATCAGGAAGAATAAAACACACATCTTAAATATTATTGGAAGTGTAGAATTAGTTTTGTTTTATTATTTTCTGCACCAAACAGAACTTGATTCATTCTCCAACATTTCAGAAATGAACCACTGCGTTCAAATAAAATAACAAACTAGTCAAACATTTCATTTGGTGTTATTTCTGACACCCTTCAACTGCGGCATAAACATCTGACTCTAGAGCTGCTCAGAGACATTAAACACTCATATATGAACCCATTATGTATTTTATTATTACATTATGTGTCCTGTAGGTTTTCAGTGCTTTTTTAGATTTTGTGAGTTTTTGCAAAGCGTGTTTTTCTCAGCCTGAGGCGTGGTGTTGAACCAGGAAACAGATGTTTTACTTTGTTAAATCTTCTTAAATGTTTAAAATGTTTTGTCCTAACCTGTTGTTAATGGAGAGATTTTGAGGGATGGCAGGTTGTGTCGGTTACGTTTTTGATAAAAAAATAAAAAGCAATTAGCTGATATCTTCTATTTATTGATGAAAACAAATCAATATGAAATAATCGTGATGCATCGGGAAATCGAATCGAATTGAATCGTTGACCCAATAATCGTAATCAAATCGGGAGACAAGTGAAGATTCCCACCTCTAATTTGGGGGTGACTTGCTCTTTGAAACCTGCCTTTTTTTTTCTCCACGCTTCTAATGAATCATATTTTGTCTTTATGTTTTAAGTAGACATAAAGTTCAAATGATTCTTTAAAGAGCAAGTCACCCCCAAATCAACTTTTTCCTGATAAGCTATATAAATGCGTGTCTAATCGTGCTGCAGACACGTGTAGTCAATAGTTTTGCAATTTATTGCATTTTAGTCAAAATTTTAATTCTCTGCCGTTGTCAGGTAAAAACTCTGTACTGCAGTTGAGTTTAAATCTGTAATCGCTATTGGCTAAGAGGTACCCTAAACATTAGCTGGTACCATATGATGTCACAATGCTGTTGTGAGCCTGTGTGTGTGTATTTATTAGCGGCTCCGCCCTCTCGGTCTGCTAGGCAACAGCATTTGTTGCATTTTTGAAACAGGATGTGGGAGTGGAGTAATACTCTGGTAGGGGGTGACTTGCTCTTTAATCAACTTTTTAAGGTGTTTGGTAAAAACAAGCTGAGAAAGTCTCCAGCTGAGTCTCATGAAATAAACTCAGGCTTAATAAATCCTGGTTTTATCAGGACTGGAGCTGGTTTTAGAGTAGTTTAACGTTCCAAAGCGTTTGTTTAGTTAAAAACTACCGACGCATGTCCGACGTGTCTCCCCGTCTCAAATCTGAGCCTGACTCGGGTGTGTTCTGCTCTCAGGTGACCGAGGACTTGTTCGACTACTCCAGGCTGGCCACGACGGGCCCTGAAGTTGTGATGCAGGCGGCCGACTTGCTCATGGCCGATTTCAGGATGCTCAGCAGTCAGGACATCAAATGGACGCTAAACGCCCTGAAGGGACACTATGCAATCACACGAAAGGTACCACTGCGTCTGCAGTGCGTTTCCCCCCCCCCCCCCCCCCCCCCCCCGCGCTGCCGCTCACCCACGCTGTCATGGTTGTTTCCTCCTCCAAGGCCTTATGTGAAGCTCTGAAGAAGTGGCAGAAATCAGGCGACCCGTCAGGAAAACGGCGGCGAAGCAGAACCTCCTCAGAGCGCTGCTACATCGATTTCCATTTTGAGCACGGTGAATGGACTCCACGCGTTCATCTCGGAGTTCCTCTGGTTTCTGAGACGAGTTTCAGACGTACTCATCTCCCTTCTGATCCATCAGGCTCGTTGAAGCTGGACCGGAGGATGTACTTCTTAGAAAACGACCGCCGTTACTGCAGGATGTACAACAACCTAGAAACGTCTGTGCAGAAGGAGCTGACCTTTTATCAGCAGAAGGCCAAGGAGTGGGCAGAGGTAGACTCCCACACAAAATATCACTTTGACCTCTGACCTTTTGAAACTAAACGTTTCCACAGATGTTTGATTCTAGTCTAAATCTCTCCGCAGCACGAGGACTTCCTCCTCGCTCTGCAGGTCAATGAGGATGAATATAAGAAGGTAGGAGCCGCAGATGTTTTACACACACACACACACACACACTCACTGGTTTGTGTTATCTGGACACGTTTCTGTTGAGATTTAGGTCCCTCTGGCTGCTAAATGTCTGGATGCTGCTTTGTAAACCGATGACTTTAAAGCTTGGTTTATGCTTGACGCGTCCGCACGGCTCTGTGCAGCAAAATTGCGTCATTTTAACAACCACGCCCCTCCACCGCACCTCCGCACGGCCCAAACTTTCTGCACCGCGCACCTAGGAAATTTTCTAACCACGCGGACGGTCGGACGCGGAAAAACATGGCGGACTGGCAAGAACTAGTATGGCAGAGGTTCGTAAATACAGACATTTGTATGATTCAGCTCTCGGAGATCACCGTGATCAACATGTTGTTAATAATTCTTGGAGAGAAATAGCTCGCACTGTCGGAAAAGATGAGGACGCTGTTAAAAAATGCTGTAATGCCATGTTGTAAACAACAGTAATTTCTACTATGGTGTAGTGTTGGATGCATGCTGTAGAGCTCCATGCTGCCCCCTACAGTTTGGGAGAATATTGGCTCACCGCAGAGACGAGCCGCATGAACCATAAACGCTGCGAGTTGTGAAGCGCGTTCCATCCGCGAGCCGCACCACCAAGCGGAAAGTGAATGTGTCAAGCATAAACCAAGCTTCAGGCTGTAAAACTTTTGACATAAATGCGTCTGAGGTTTCTGAGGGAACCTTCTGCGCCCAGCACTGCTTTTTCCCGTAGATCGTCTCTGGTGGGTTGTCACAACGAGGGTTGAGTGTGTGTTAGCTGCTCCAGGTGCGTGGAACGTTGAAACGATGATTTCTCTCTCTTGTGTTTGTCTTCCCAGGACGGTCAGCTGATCGAGTGCGGCTGCTGCTACGGGGAGTTTGCGTTTGAGAAGATGACTCAGTGTTCAGACGGACACCTGTTCTGTAAAGAGTGCCTGGTGAAATATGCTCAGGAGGCCGTGTTCGGCTCCGGGAAGGTAGCGACCCTGGACACGCTCCTGTTAGAGCGTTTATCCTACCAGCTTTGTGTTTTCTATCCAAACTAACATTTTTATTAATCTGTGGGAAAACGATAAGAGAACTGCTGCTGTAGTGTTTTTGACCCGTCTGTTCCTATGGTTACCAAAGTCACATGGTCAGGGCTGTCAGGGTTGTTGTTCACCAACCAGAGGGCGTTGCTTCCTGCCGAAATCACAGAAGTAGGGAGAGGCTTAAGGTGCGATACGTTTTTCCACCTCTAGATGGAGCCCTCTGAGAAGACTCCAGCTTTCTGCTTATTTCCGACTTTAACTAGCCTAGTGAACTAGACCAAATTCTTGCTTTGCGAAGAATGATCTAGGCACGCTCCATTGGAACCTCCGCAGTTCCTACCAGGACTCTGGCTAGCCAATCACAGCTCTCTAGAGGGGTTTCAAACACATAAAGAGCTGTGATTGGTCCATAATGGTGGGCCAATCACAGTGCTCTATCTGCTTAGTGAACAAATCACAGAGCTTTATCCGCTTTGTGGGCCAATCAGGGCACTCTATATGCCTGGTGGGTGGGATGATGCAACAGAGTGAAACAAGAGTGTGTCACATTCTTTGTCCAGTGGAATGCGGAGATCATTTGAAAGACAACGGTAGAACCCGCCCCACAACCGAGAGCCGTCAATGGAGCATGGCCAGACTAAATAATACATTTATTTAGTCTGGCTTGCCAGGCTAGACTTTAACCTCATCCTGGTTCTTCAGCATGCTGCAGGAGTCATGGTTCATCACCAAACTGCTGCTGGAGTTCCTCTGGGAGGATGTTTTGGTACCATTCTCTATCCAGATAGAATAGAAAATAATTTTACTGTCACAGCTGGAGCAACAAAGAATAAAAAACGTAAGAAATACTTCAAAGTTCTAATTTACCACGTTTTACAAATAAAAGCCACATAGTCACCAGCAGATTATTATCTGGAGAGATGACATCAAAGGAGAAACGACTGGGTGTAAGTGGAACAACAACAGAACTGGTTGTGT